ATGAAATCATTGTTGTACAATAACTTTGATATGAAAGACCTCGGAAAAGCGAGTGTGATTCTTGGTATCAAGGTCACGAGATCCAAACAAAGAATTTCTTTGGATCAATCACACTATGTGTAAAAGATCTTAAAGAAATATAATCACTTTGACAGTAAACATGTGAGCACACCATACGATCCAAGCATGAAGCTTTTTAAGAACACTAGTGAAAGTGTTAGACAAATAGAATATGCGAGCATCATTGAAAGTTTTAGGTATTCCATTGATTGTACTAGACCCGACATTACATATATCATGGGATTTTTTTGCAATTTTAATAGTAGACCGAGTAATAAAAATTGACAGACTATTAAGCAAGTCATGCAATACCTTAAAAGGACCATGAATATCAATTTACATGATCAGAGATTTCCTGTTGTACTTGAAGGATACAATGATGCAGATTGTAATACCTTATCATATGATTCTAAAGCAACTGGCGGCTATGTATTTCATAGCTAGAGGAGTTGTATCTTAGAAATCAAAGGAACAGACTATCATGGTTCGGTTCACGATGGAGTCTGAGATGATAGTATTAGCGACTGCTAGTGAAGAAGCAAGTTGGTTAAGATGCTTCCTAAGTAAGATTCTCTTATGGAAAAACATATGCCAGATGTGTTGATCCACTGTGATAGTACCCCGACTATTGCAAAAATTGAGAACCATTATTATAATGATAAAAGACGTCAAATTAGAAGAAAGTACAACACTGTTAGAGATTGTATCTCTAAAGAAGTTGTAAGAGTGGATTATGTATGCATTGATGAAAATTTAACAGATCCTTTGACGAATGCATATAGGAATATGAGTTTCTCATGATAGTAACCCGATCTAAATAACTGGAGATTCTAATAAATACGCTCAATGGATAATAACAAGTTATGAGTAATATGAGATGATCATGCAAGTAAAGCATGAATCTTGAAGTAATAAGAGGATGAGATAATAGAAACTCTTAATGAGATCTATACTCTGCATGATGGAGTACCTAGGCTACAAGAGTACTCTTGATAGACTCACCTATGTGATTATGGAACTTAGGTCGGTTCCTATGGAATTTTGAGGCAGAATTCCAAGAGTCTTCACTAAACTGGGATACACATGCAGGGCTATTAAAGCACGAATTATTAGAATACATCTCAAGAAAAGATTATGTGCGAGTATGACGTCTGAGATAGAGTTCAAGATATTTGTGTCACTCTTGTTGAATCATAATCCTATTTGTTACGTAAAGGTTCAAGTTGTAGACACATTTGTTTATGCACAATCTTAAAAATATTTTACGTTACTTTTAAACTCACTTCTTTAAATTCAAGTGGGGGATTGTTGGAACATATCCTTGCTCCAATATGTTGAATTTAAAATTTTCTTAAGTCCCACATTGTTAAAAAAAAAATTGTGGTTAAAAAACCATTTAATCCCACATTGCTCATGTGAGAAATATTAACTAGCTTACTTCACTATATAAGAAGTGCACATGTTTCATTCCAAAACACACCAAAAATTATTTTATTAATTTTTCCTTCCTCACTCTCATAACTCTGGATCTTTCAAATTGTCGAAGCGCCAACTTCTTCCCCTTTCTTTCTACTCGTTAAATTTTTCGAGTTTTTTCTTGAGTTCTCTCTCTTTGTTGGAGAAATATTATGAGTAGTTAGATAACCATTATTAAATTCTCTTTGGAGAATTATTTGAATTTCTCTTTGTTTGAGAAATTATTACAATTGGTCTTTATACTAGATACTACGAGTGATATCGATACCATATTTGAATGGTTTTGTACTAGTAGATGGTGTATTCGCATAATTTTGAGCAGTGTTGCGAAACGTCTTAAAGAGAGCAAACTGATCCGTAACTCAACCCGATAATTTCTTTGGTGGCTGAATTTTAAAAACCGTGAAACAACAATCCAAATGAATTTTCTGCATCATCAGTTTATGCAAGTATTGATTTTAATATGGGAATGAGTTGTATCGTTAGTTTATGTTAGTGTCATGTATCATTATTTAATCTCAAATCAATTTTCTGCATGTTAGTTTATGTTAGTGTCATGTATCATTATTTAATCTCAAATCAATTTTCTGCATCATAAATGATGAGTTGTTATCAACTCAGAACACGAATTGTTTTGGATGAAACTCAAGCTTACCAAAACTAGTGCAAATAATGCAGCTACTGGTGCCAATACAACTCAGTACACACATAAATTTTGGTGAAAGAAAGACGACAATGTACGATGACGACAACGACATACAATGAAAGGCGACCTTAAGTGTTACTACATAGCATTCTGCAACCACTTTACAGAGCAATAAACTTAATTCTTATCCAAATCAAATGAAACTTATTACTCTTCCACATCACTCTCCATGATAATAACACAGTCAACTAATCAAAAATAGTGGGAGTATAAAGATTAGACACTTGTTGTAAGATATTCGAATATGAGTTCTTTAATCTCAGAATCTTTTAGATTACTTCATATTCACACTCCAGTTCATTGTGTCGTGTTTCTTCTACAACATCCTCAAAACATTTAAAAATTTTGATAATATCCAATTTCACATTTATAAAAATTTTAATATTCGCATTCACACTTGTACTAAGTTGAGTGCTTCTCATTCCTCATATAAAAACCTTCTTCATGTAATATGATACCCATTTTTCTTTCATAGTGTACACTCTTAACAACCAAGTGTTTTCCTTTACATCATATTTCATAGCGAGTGTTCTCCACTCTTCTTCAAATTTTTCTTCGCTTTCATATCCATACATGCATTTATTGAAGTCACTAAGAAAAAAAAACTCACCTTTCATTAAATTTCCTAGGGGCTTAATGCAATTTTACATAAAAAATCATATACATAAAACATAGTAAGCTTTTGGCATGACCTCACTTAGTGCTTTTGCCATTGCCTTGATAAGTAAAAATCGTTTGAGACATTTTTTTTGTTTATGAGACTCTAAAAATGTATCAATGAGCCACTTGTAAGACTCTATTATACAACAATGCAACTCCAAAAATTACCGCTTTTCGATGGTGATTAAATCTTGAGAACACGACAAGTGGCCTATGTGAACTATTTGTATAATATGTTAAATCAAGAGAAATTATGTCACCAAAATACTCATAATCAGTGACCATATTTGTATCTTCCCAAAACACATTAGTGATTTGATATGCATGAGAAAATGTTGAATTTTCTACTTTCTTTCTTTGAAAGTATTGCAACAAATAACCAACTTTCTTATGTATCATACTCCTCTCCCTTTTTTCTGGAGATAATTTTTTTAATAAAGACGAGTAAATCTCAAATTAGTTATATCTCCCACTTCCTTACTCATTAAATCAAATGATTTTCTTTATTGTAGTCCAGTATTATCTGTTCAATCAATTTGTTGGCATTGAAATTAAGATATTTTTCTTTGAGATGCCAACATATGAGTTGTTTTTGATAGATGTAAAACATGGTTATGCTCCTCCAAAAAATCAACCACCATAAATTCTCCACCCATATTTTTTATGTTTAACCTTGATTGACAATTTTTCCTAGTTTCCAGTCACGGATTTATGGTTTTTTATAATCTCATTTATCTGATTTCCAAAAACCTTTTTTTACAACTAACAAACTTGTAAGAAGAAATTGTATCATTTGTGTTCTTTGTGTGAATATTGTTTCCTCGCTCCAAATCCAACTTTTCCACCATAATCAACCCAAAATTTCTAAACATCTTCAATATTATCAAAAATCATTTCAAAAAATTTCAAGGCATCTTCAATATTATCAAAAATCATTTCAAACTTTGGTTTCCAATCTTCTTGCATCTTGCATAAAAAGTCCTGCATTTTATTATCGAATGAGAAATCAAAACATTCATTTTATATTGTTGAATGTTCCTTATAGCTAAGAGTTTAAAAAAAAAACGTTTGCGACAAAACAATGTCAACAGTCCCATTAAATCAACTCAATTGAAAGCTGTCAATTGAAAGCTGTGCAAAGATAGTGTAAGATTGTAGATTTGAATCGGATATTAATATCACCGTAATCAGTGCCACAACACCTATACCAACCAAAATTGCAAAAACTTTTAGGCGACAACAATCAATTAAATAACTTCAGTAGGTTACTAAAACGCTAGTATCTACACAAATATATGTAGTTATTTAGTTAAATTAAAAATAAATAAAAAACTAACCATACAATATTAATGGCAGAGTCACTTCCTCCCATGAAAAAGTAATAAGAAAAATGTTTTGTAGAAGTATGAGTAAAATTGGTTGCTGAAAGTTAAAACACAGTCTAAACACAATGAATTCTGGCGGAAACAAAGTAAGATGGCTGAATGAAATAAGGCGGTAGATGATCCTTTTCCAAACTGCAGCCACCTAGCATGATTAGGTGATAAGCAGACTGCACAATATACTTGCCATCACGACTTTTATTTCAAATCAACTTTTCACTTTTCTGTTACATCATCAACAACAGACCTATTGATCTATAAATATTAGGTGGCTGCAGTTTGGTCATGAGATTATGGGGGTTCTACTCCTTTGCCTAGTGTTCAATGAGGTCATATTGTAAGATGTTCAACACCAGAAGGGTTTTTTTATATACAGGTTTAGGTTGTGACTTGCATATAGTTCATTAGGATTCATAATGGTCATCAAATTCAAGGATCATGAGATTAAATGAGAAAGTATTTTCAAACTATCATGAAGTAAATTTTGTTTGAAACTAGCAGCTTGACGCATTCTCATTGGTCTCATAAAATGTGAATGGAAGAAACCTTGGATCATATACAATCTTGAAAGGAGGCTATAAAAAGTGAGATCCTGTAACCTTACAGTAAGCAGGAAAAGAAAACATATGAAACTATATTATTCTGAAGTGAAAAATAAATGTTCCTGAGAATATGCAAACCAGCAGCTGCCGCATGATAAGAGGGAGGAAACAACTTCACATTATAGAACAATTTGGCTGAGAACCATCAGACATTTCTGGAGATCTGTAAAAGAAATCATTTGTATCAGCTGATGTCATACTAGTTTGACAACTACAAGATAAATGCACGTCTGTGCATAAGCATTTAGTTTTGAATGAGCAAATAGAGATTATTGCTACAAGAAGGCACTTACAACTGGCCAAGACTGGCTAAGTCAAAATCCGGAGCAAGCTCCTGGACAATATCATTTGGAGGTTGTCCACAGTCTTGCATTTTCTGCATGAGCTCAACAATCTTGGTGAAGTTTCCCGAATCTTTTTCATAAACTTCGTTAAGATTCCGAATCAGCCCATATTGCTGTGAATACCGGTCATATTCTTCTTGGCTTAAGCTGGCTTTATGATCTTCCAACCACTTAGGATACCTTTCTCCGATTTCCTTCATTGGTTCAGCAAGTATCTCCTTGGACAGAAGCTGTTGCATCATGGTCTCCACAATAGATTCCATATCCTAAAAAATGATTAAAATTATCAGTACTAATTCCAACAGAGAAAATCAATATACATTAATCAATACATAAACAGCAGCTGCTTCTGTTATTGGTTATCGAGCTCGTCCGTAACTGCAAAACTTAAGTAATTACTAAATCGAATAACAACTTACTCATCTACTTGAGTAGTGAAACAACATTTTGTTCCGAATTCTGAAGCAGTTAGTGATGCATTCAATTCTGAGCCAGGAACTTTGTGTAAGGCATTGGTAGAGAACTAAAGCATTTGAACACTTGAAAACAGTACATTGACACAATCACACACACACAAAAAAAAAAAACTAGTTTCTTTCATAATGCAAAAAGTATCATAGTTAAGTAAAAAGTCCATCTGACTGAAATATAAGAACTCAAGGTGTAGACAGTAAGATGACTGCATTTGTTTCAAATCATCAGTAAACATTTGCACATACACCCCTCTGAAGTGTGGTGTCAGCGTATCAAACATGTTTTGGAAACCGACACTTACCGGTCACGCCTTGGACATGCCCCAGACACCTCTTAACAGTGTCAGATTAACAACATTTTTTTTTGGGTTCGGACACCAGTTAGACACATTTTGGATACAAGCCAAGAGACCTAGATGACACCAACTCTTAACCAGACACTTCTCCAACCATCCCAACCCTAGATTAGATCTTTTACTTTTTGAAACAAATAGCAAAATGATGCATTTTTCAATTTTTTTCTGTGGCTCATTGTAATAGGATTAACTAATTGTTAAAAAAAACATGATTCATCTTCTTAGAATTATTTATGCAAGGATTTCACTATAAATGAATCCTCTTAGTCTTGGTATTCTTTTTTCTGACTGTTATTATCATTACCATAACTTTACTTTTAGAAGATTAATGTATTTGTTCTGGGCTGACCGCTAGCCCAAAGGGGGAGCCTAATCATCAATCTTGGTCATTCCACTAAAGCATTGAAGGTACAGTACAATCCTACTCTAGATCCCCGCACTAGATTCACACTATGGGCTGCTACTGACCGTTAGATGCCATCAGACGGTGTTCCCCATTCCATGCGAAAATAGTAGGGAACCGCCATAACTTTCATTCATATATACTACTTGAGGTACTCTCTCTAACACTAAAATCACTTAACTCCTTTTTCTGTTGCGTTGGAGTGTTAACCTTGCAGGTCCACCCCAACACCATGCCATCAAGACTCTATTCCACCAAATCACAATAAAGTTTATCTAAGGCGTGATAACTAAGATTACACCAAACGCATATAATCAACAACATAAATTTCTAAAGCATGAGATGATTAGTCTCATTTTATAATATTAAACAATAACAGGATAGAACCATAGAGGCTATATAACATAATGAGCTTCTACCTGAGAGCCAGCAAGTTCTTCAAACTGTTTAACCCAATCCTCCATCATACCATCTTTACCCAAATCATCAGCACCAGCAGGTGGGGTTGCAAATCCAAGACCCTTAACAGCCTCTTTAGTTTGCTCCCTTAACTTATTAAGAGCCTCAGAAACATGAGCATCTTTAGAAACCTTCTGTTTCCCTTTTCTCTTGCTTCTCAAATCAGGTAACCCTAATCCCAATCCTTGAACCCCTGAAGGTAAAGAAGGAGACTCTTTTGTGTTCCTACTTTGTTCTCCGGTTCTAATAAACAAAACAGAATAACGCGTTTGAGAATTGAGATTCGGTTAAGCAATGAAGTGAAATACGAAAAGATTACAGTTGAGAAAAGAGACCTTGGAAGGGAAGAATTTAGGTTGAGGGTTTGGAAATCATCCAAAGCACCTGAAATGGATTGAATAGAAGGAGTTAGAGAGAGAAAGAGGGCGGTGAAGAGAGAGAGAGAGCTTACTGTCAAGGAGTTGGTTGAGGTCGTCGGACTGGTCGACCATGGTTGTCTGTCACCGCCAGACAGACTCTTCCTTGTTGGAACGAACAAAAATTGGGACAGCCTCAATGTGTAACGAAATTCTCTTTTTATCCACTTATACAAGGAAATTAGAATTAGAATTGTGGAAAATAAAAAAGGTAAATTGTTTATAAGTTTGTATGATTATAAGTTTTTATGATATACTTTAACCTTAAAATTTATTTTGGTTTGCGACTAATTTAGATAAAAGGAATTAAAATAAAGCGTTTTGAAAAATTAATAAATCAATAAGAACTTTTTTAAAGTTAAATGACCAAAATAAATTGAAGTTAAGATATAAGACTAAATGGATATTTTGCATCTTATGTCTTGTTGCATTATAATTTTTGGATATTTAAAAATAGATAATTATATATTTGTGAAATAATTTTCTTCTTTATTTAAGTTTTTTTTTACCTGTACCTGGGTATTGATTAGGGATGGCAATAGACAGTGTACTACAATATCTGTCCCCATATGAAAAAATCTTCATACCCGAGCCCAAATCCGCATGGACACTAATGTTCATATCCGTACTCATGCTCTATGGGTATCTATATACACATATCCACACTCGTTTTACCCATATTTGTAGTAAAATTCAATCAATTAATTATAAATTATCATATAATTTTAAATTTTCTTAACAACATTAAAAAAATTATGGATGTCATTGTTGAATTAAAAAATAAATAAACACTTTTATTAATATGTGTAATAGTTTAATAGTGATATGTTTTTTAAAAATTGATATATGTGCATTTATATATAATAATACAAATGATATTATATAAATATGAAGTGTGGGTATAGAGCAGGGTGGGTATTAAGATATCAGTGCCCACACTCATAACCGTTTATTTTAATAGGTAATTACTTGTGCCTGTATCCGTACTTATTTTACGGGTTTTTATCTTACTTATTGGGGTATTTTTTGTGGCTACTCATCGGATATGAGTCAGTATTGATATTATATCGATGTAAAGGAGACCGTCAATTTTTTATTTTAGGACATTAAAAAACGCTTTAATGAACATTTTCTTATTTTTAACTCCTAAGAAGAATTATTTTGACAATATACATGCTACATAAATGTGCAAGATCTTTCTATTTTAAAAATTTATAAATTAAATAATATTAATAATAATAATAATAATATATTATTATTATTATTAAATAATAATAAATAATAATAAATAATAATAAATTTTTATTATTAACATTTATTATTTTTTACTCACCATATTGATATTAATAATGTATCAATACTCAGATATCAGTGCCCACACTCATAACCGTTTATTTTAATGAGTAATTACTTGTATTCGTATCTGTATTCATTTTGCGAGTTTTTACCCTACTCGTTGAGGTATTTTTTTGTGGCTACTCATTGGGTATGAATAAGTACTGATTTGTATTGAAATAAAGCAGACCGTCAATTTTTTATTTTAGAACGTTAAAAAATGCTTTAATGAACATTTTCTCATTTTTAATTCTTAAAAAGAATTATTTTGACAATATACATAATACATAAATGTGCAAGATTTTTTTATTTTAAAAATTTATAAATTAAATATTAATAATAATAATAATAATAATAATAATAATAATATATTATTATTATTATTATTATTATTAAATAATAATAAATTTTTATTATTAACATTTATTATTTTTTACTCACTATATTGATATTAATAATGTATCATTATTATTGTTGATATTAATAATGTATCATTATTATTGTGAACTTTTTAACTCATATGAATTTGTTGAGATTTTCAACGTGAAGAAACATATGATGTAGCATAGTTTTGGTCATTTTAAAAATAATAATAAAATTATGTATTCATAAAAATTTTATATATTCACTAATCATAATTCTCTCATATTATTTTAAAAAAAATAAATATGTGTATCATTATTTAGTATAAATTTTAACTTTTTATCATTAAAAAAGCTAATATTTTTTCAAGTCAATTTTTTAATAAAAAATATTTGTTATTCGTATGAAATTAAATTTAAAAATAAAATATTTATTATTTAATTTTATTAATTTATTCTTTTCCATTATTATTTTTAAAAATATATTTATCTCATATCAATTTTCATGCAATCGCACGTGATATTGCTCAACTAATCTTCACGTTTCTATAAAGTTTATGATATTTAATATATATATATATATATATATATATATATATATATATATATATATATATATATATATATATATATATATATATATATATATATATATATATATATATTTATTTATTTATTTATTAATATAATAATAATAATGATAATAATAATAATAATAATAATATGTATTGAGATGTAAATAATTATAAAATCAATTATAGAAATTTTAATATTTTAAAAATAAAAGAGATAATCATTAATTAAAATAAAATAATATTATTGTATTGAGAGTGACCGGTGAAATTGAATATTTACATAAAATAATAACAATTGTCAAGTGTTTCTTGCATATAAAAATTAATTATTTGATATAAAAAGTATATAAAATATTTATTTACGAAAAGATAGGATAAATGATATATAAAAAATATTTATTCTAATGTGTTGTATCTGAGAGGTAATATTATATTAAAACATTTATTTTCAAAGATTTTTTATTTTTTATTTGTTTCTAACACAATCCCAAAAATGTTTAATTAATGTCAAAATTAAAATGAAAATAAATTCTATTATTTATTATTTATTATAAATAATTATTTATAATCTAAAATTAATTTTTAACTAATTTATTAAATCGATTTTTGTAAGATCAAAATTATGTTGTCAAATTTGTTTTGTTACTTGATTTTTTATTGTCATCCATTACGTGGCCAACAATTATATTAATTTGTGTATAAAAAGAATCAAAAATGATATTAGTTAAATGATGTGATAGTGACTTATTTAAGTTTAAGTTTAGAAATGTAACTAGTTTTGAATCCGTTATATTGATAAAGTAATCATTCTTATATATTAAAATATAATTCAGATCTACATCATTAAAAATTGAGTGTTTTATTTATTAATAAAGATTAAAAAATAAAACATATATAATTACATAAAAAGTACTTAATTTATTAAAAAAATTAAAATTGATAATAATTGATTAGATTTAATGAATTGAATCATAAATAAACTATGAGAACACACATAGCTAACTTAACAAAATATATAATATGCATAAAAAATATATAATATGCTCATAAAAAAGCTCCACTTAACCTATGAGTATCAAGTAGCAGATGATCTCAATTAACCTATGAATAACACGTAACTACCCATCTGGGCAATGCATCATTACAACTATCTTCACCATCATCATCAATTGTGCTCTGCCACTATATTTCTCACTTAACTTAAAGTACAAAAAAAACTATAATATAAAAAAAAGCACTTGTTGCAATATAGTCATCTGCGGTTGCCATGAATAACATCTCCCTATAACAACAAAAATAGAAAAAACTTGATGAAAGCAAGTAGAAACAAAAGTCATATATCTTTTATGAAAATTATTTATGTAAACAAAAGAATAAACTACTTTAAAACCAAAAACAATATGGAAAACAACAAAAAAAATATCACATCAATTATGTTATTGTCACTCCCCATTCACCTAAGAATGATATCTCTTATCTCTTATCACTATCACAATAATAAGTGTTTCCAATATAAATCACTCATCATGAAAATCATATTAAACACTTAATTTCACAACAAAAATGATATCAAAAATCAAAATTGGACCTCCTACACGCACTCATATAACACATGTTGCCATTTTTCTCAAGAACTCTCAGAAACATTAAGAAAAAAAAACTAAATTTCAGAATATTTACATCCCAAAAGAAAAAACATAAGGATGTTTGAATGTAACATGCTAAGCAGTATGAGCATAAAATATTTCTTTTTTGGTCAAAAATCCACAGATTATTGATACAACTATATCATGTAGAAATCTAATGAACCGTTAAAACGTATATTCGTGCTATTAAGTAATTTAATATCAAATTCTTGAAGCTACAAAAAAGACTATTCAATTGAACAATATCTATTATACCAATGAACAACATCCTTCTGATTTTTGGTTTGAGAATATGATGAACCGCCATGAAATTCAAAGCTTTGGTCTAGAGATTCTGCAGATTGAGATATAGTATAATCGAGTGACTTAGTTTCAACATCATTATCACATAATATGAATATGTCAATCAAACATTTCTCTTCTTACCGCCAAAGTTCTTGTTCCACCGACTTCACACTGCATCCAAATTCAAATTCAATTCAATTTAATTTAACGGGGAACATTAAATGAATTTTTTTATTAATAACCAAGTATTAAAATAATATTTCGCAAATAACCGCGTTTCGGAAAAAAATACGCAAATAACCATGTTTCAGATGACTCCCCAAAGGAGGAGCCATCTGAAATGGCGCATGCACCTATATTTTAAGGGGAGGCGCCATCTCACTTGGCGCCTATGTGCTTAGGGCATGCCCTAAGCCAAGTGAGATGGCGCCTAGGTGTATTTTTAGGGCAAAAAATGATTTTTTTTCCGGTGCGTTGCGTGTTGGACAGAGATCAACAAAATGGACTTTTTATTATAAAAAAATAATTACATCCAACTGTATTACATTAAAATAACAGTAAAAGAAAACATATTAAAAAAATGGATACAAAAATACTGGGAAAAAAAACGGATACATCAGTGATCCCCCGGAACCCGGTAATGACCCCCGGTTCCGCATCCCCGTCCTCGCCTTTCTCGTGCTGGATGTCATCGCGTTTCCTGCTGCGGCAAGGTCGATGGCCCAGCGAAGTCAATGCGGTCTGAATCCATAAAATCAGTCAGATCTCCATATCTAGAAGATCCAATCTGGTACAGTCGGTTACCCATACCCTCAAAGTTTGGTCGTGTTGGCGGTGGGTGCGGTTCCATAGTGGGTCTGTAGCATTGATCG